TCGCAAAGGACTGTGTACTTTGACATCAAAGCAGTTCCAGTCGATCTATTTGCAACTGGCATCACATCACTCCAAGGATCCAGGTCTTCTTCGCAGGTTGGCAACAACCATGGCGAACATGTCCAGGCAACCATGGAAATGTGTATGGTGCAAAAGACTCAACAAGCATCATGCTCCTCAATGTGGATCTTGCTATGGCAACTGGACGACGTGCATCGACATCCACTACGTTCATGGCCAGAAGAATGCGACAGAAGCCGCTACAAGAACAAGATCCAGAAAGCAACAAGAGGCTGCTTGGGAGAATTGGGGCGAATCGCCGCGCAGAAGAGCTGGCGCCACTGCCACCAAGTCAACAGCATCTCCAAGAAGGAGAACCAGAGGGCGCACGCCCAAGAAAACGTCAGCAGCCAAAGAGAGCTATGGTGCTCCAACATTAGATCCTCCATGGCAATCGGCAAGTACAACATCTTTGCCTCAGCCGTCTACGTCGACACCGGTGGAGACTCCAGAGAGTGCCCTCTTGAAAGAATTGGTGCAAGCACTGGAGAATACAGGCAACTCCTTGACAGAAGATGTCCAGACAGTGATCGACAAGACCAAGAAGCCCTACGAACCGCCGCCATCAACGAAATCAGTGCGGCAGTCCTGGGACAAGTTGGAGAAGAAGCGCAAGCAGTTACAGCAAGCACAAACTGCGCGCAGCAACCTTCATTCATCTTGGGCTGGCTACATCGAAGAATCCGTCAAGCGATGGAAAACATTTGCATCAGACTTCGCAGAGAAAGACCAGGCTTTAGAGAAGAAAGTCTTGGAAGCAAAAGACGCTATGCAGGAAGCGAGAGAGAAGTACGAGAAGGCGAGAGATGCAATGGACAAACAGGATGCAGCACAGCTCGAAGTGGAGGAGGTCTCAGACGGCATGGAGGAAGAATCGGCGGACAGAATTGCACAATGGGTTCACTCCATTTTGGAAGAGCCAACATTTTTGACAGAATGGAAGGCGAGCATCTCAGCCCTTGACCTCTCCTATGAAGTTTCACAACATTGCGGCACAGTGGGCACTTTGCCTGTCGCAACCCGGAATAGATCAAGATCACGACGAAGTTCCCTCCAAGTGACGTTCAGCCCCATTGCAGAGCTCTATGTGGGATCAGAGCAGGATTTTGTGATGCAAAGGTTGACGCACACTACCATGAAATCAGTTCTTGCAGCAAGAATTTTCCAGCCACTTGAGCACCCTTTGACTGATGAAAATTCTTTCATGGCCACAGGGAACATATATCGTGATCGATCACCACGACGTCTTCCAAGACATGATGAACACATCATTGATGACAACACGATTGCGAGAGAACCACATGACCAACCACAACAGGTAGAACCGCCCAATGAAGTGGAATCTGATAGTGGCTCACATACGGAAGAGGCAGAAATGGATTGGCAGGCTTCAATGTTATTTGCCTTGGACTTTCAGCCGAGACCTATGAGAGTCAACTGGAACGATTACGAAACAATCCACACCGAAGCAGCAAGTGCACTTGGTGTCACAACTCATCAGCTTTTTGCGCTCCACCATGTCAGTACTCCTCCTCAGGACCTACTTGACGCTGGTGTTGAGGCACTGCTTGGGCATCGACATCAAGATCTACCACCAGGTTCACCTCTCCAGTTGATACTGATGGATGTGGAGTTCCACTCGGCTCTTCCGGACATTCAACCTGAAGTCGTGCGCAGAGTAGTCAGACTGCCCAAGCAGATTGGTAGACTGGCTGTCCTCAACCGTATTGGCCTTGGGGATTTCTGCAGAACCAACCACAGAGATTGTATCGTGTGGCACAATGGTAATATTTGTTCTCACACGTCAGCATGCCCTTTTGGACTCCAACATGGACACTACATCAGAATTGCTGTCCCTCCGGGTGACGAATCGGTCCATCACATCGCCACCAGATGTGTGGCAAGCGCATGTCACCAAGGAGTTACCAATCAAGAGCTTTGTGACCGGCATGCACTCTACACTTTAGGCTGGTATGATAGCATCATTGGTCATCCTCTTGTGCCTTTGCCTCTTGACATTGACGAATTCTCCATGCTTCAAACCGGAATTCCAACAAGATCAAGAGAAAGCAGGCCATGGTTCCTACACACAAGCCCAGTATGTTCTATGGATGCTTGGGAACACACCGGCAGCATCACATTACCTGCTGGCTTTGAACGCATGCCAAAAGAACCAGATGATCGGCCCAATGACAGACTTGAAGATGAGCCTGAGTATCGAAGATCTGCTCCGCCACAATTTGTACGACCAATTGGCCATGTTGCGAATCCCCTGCAAGGTCAACAAGTGGCCATCCAAGAGCTCTTCATGCTGTGGATGCATTTGGCGCAAACACAACAAGGAGGCCCCACGACAGTCATTACTGTAGAAACATGGTATCTGTCAGCGCCTGAACATGTTGATTGTAGAGCTTCAAGGTCTGTTCAACTTGGCAACAACTTCGAAATGTGGACTCAACAGATAATTGATGAGTGGCTGGACGTCATAGATCGTGACCAGTGGATTCACCTTCATACTGTGAGACCCATGCCAAGAGTCACAATTACGAGACCTACAGTCAGGCCGCATGTGATTCTGACACAACAATCACCAGACAACATGGTCTCCAATTTGTACACAGTCATTGATGCCTCTGGTGCAACCATGAGACCTGATCAGTTTGCCAAATTTGGACCAGTGCTGCAATCATGGCAGTCGACAGTTCAGCAATGTGAAGCGCAAGACAGATGCACGCAACCCCACTCGGCCGTCCAATGCATGGTTTGGCATGACGATCATCAGCTCAGAGAGCCACTGGCCATACCGAACCGACATGGCTTTGAATTTATGGTCATCATCAATCCCATTCAAGTTCATGATCCTGCACATGATCCATGGCATGATGATGACGAAGGAATGTTTTTGCAGACTCATGCATCCAAGACAACCCTTTGTCTGGATGAGCTCATTCCAGAAACTGTGGCAGTACGACTTCTATGTCCAGACGGCACACGCCTCCTACCGACACCACTGGAAGTTGATGCGCCTGGTACAGCCTTGCAAATCCAAACAGAATTGAAGCATTGGGGCCACTATTGTGAGGTCATTGAATGTGTGCCGCATGGTATCTTTCTTTGTATTGACAGCGCCAAGAAAGCTGACGCAGATGGTGACATCAAGTTCCACTATGTCTTCTGTCATGATGATGCACAGGACACTAGCGGTATCATTTGTCACAGTGCGAACCATGTGCTCACAGAAATCGAAATGATGCAGTTCCTTTGTGCAATTGGCTACTCCAGAGCAGTCATTCTCGACACGGTGTCCATCAATGCTGAATGGATCAAAGTGGAATTCCATCACCGTGAGCCGAGTCTGACATGCCCCATGCAACAAAAGAAGGTGAGAACACCTTGGCCAACGAGGGGACATGCAGCACGCACATCAAAGCGTTTCTTCACGTTTGATGTGTCAGCAGGGTCTCAATCACAATGCGTTTTGAGAACTTCGTTTCAAAGTGAAGATCTACATGCACTTTTTCAGTCTGCAGACGGTGTTCTTTGCACTGACTTTGATGCTGTTGAACTTCCTCCTGAAGTTCGTTGCCATTTGCAAACATTACCTATTCGACCAATCACCAAGACATCTGACCTTGACCAGTACAACAGAATTCTTATTTATACTGATGGCTCTTCCCAACCATCGATGCGCAGACTTCCACCTCAAAGAGCAGATGAGCTGGGTCATCCTGACACGTGGTCGATGCTTGTGATCGGCGAAACCTTTCATGCAGAAGACTCAGAAGTTGCCCTACTTGGTTGGATGGCACATCCAGTGCGTTACAGCCCAGGTGGAGCTGCTTACATGTGCATCGACAGCGTAGGATCCGATCAGGCTGAGCGTGCTGCATTGATTGGTGCGGGGGCATGGCGCTTAGCCCTCAATCACCGTGTTCACACGGTGTTTTGTTCTGATTCACTTGTTGGTGGACAACAAGCGTGCGGAAATATGGGAGCCAGCCAGGATGAGGAGTCATTTGTACTCATGAGAAGCATTTTCCAAGCGCTCGAGACTGCGCTTGGTCCTCAGCACCTTGTGGTACATCATGTGACATCGCATACGGGCGACTGCTTCAACGAGTTCGTTGACACAGTGGCCAAGCTGGAGGCGAAGCAGACCATGAACATGCAGAGGCAAAAGATTGACATGAGCAAATGGAGCGTCCATTTCCGACAACTCTGGGTAGCCTTTGACGCCCAATACGGCATGCCCACATGGACAGATGGTTCTTTGGCAGTGCCTGCGCCAGACCTCCCAGAGATTGATGATTCCAGCGCTCCGACCACCTGTCGCAAAGGTCGCCGCAGGAATATCAACTTTATGTTGAGCATGGCCACTGCCAATGTCAATGCCCTCTACAAAGGACTGGATGGCCACGCAGGCAAGCTTCACTACTTGCAATCTCAGATGAGGGAATACAAGCTCAACTGCATCGCAATCCAGGAAGCACGAACAGATCATGGATTGTCTTGCAATGGCAATATCCTGAGATTCTGCACGGGCCACCGAGATGGACAGTATGGCATTGAGCTCTGGTTCGACCTTGAGACTCCATTTGCCGTCGATCACAGAGGCAAAGAATACAGGTTTGCAGCTTCGCACTTCCAAGTGGTCCATTATGATCCGCAAAGACTCCTTGTTCGATGTGATGCAGATCTCCTTTCATTCTGGGTCCTTGCGTGCCACGCGCCGCACTCGGGCCATCCAGGAGCTGTTAGAGATGCATGGTGGGCAACTACTACACACATTCTGGAAGAATATCATGACTCAGATGCTTTGTTTGTCCTTGCAGATGCCAACGCAGAGCCAGGTGCATTTGATGGTCGTACAGTCCTCAAGAAAGGCTTCCCATCATCTGCCAACACGCAAGCCTTTCGTGAGATTCTCGACATGTATGAGCTCGTCCTGCCTGCCACCAGTGACATCCACTATGGCTCCAACAATACTTGGACGCATTGCAGTGGTCGCACTCAGCATTGTATTGATCACATTGCTGTTCCGCGCACATGGCTGGGTCGATGTACACATTCGCAAGTGCTCGATGAGTACGATTTGGCCACCATGCATGATGATCACAAACCAGTTGCGCTTCAGATGCAGTGGCATGAATGTCACGCTGCATCATCTACACAAGGGCGTCAACGACAAGGTTACAAGGCTGCCAGATATCAACATCATCCGGAAATGCGCAACCAGATTCTTGGCATTTCGGAGCTTTGCTGGCACAACGATGTAGAACAACAGACAGCCTACATTACCAAGCACTTGCACGATATACTTGGTTCCACATCCACACCAGGCAGCCTGTGCAAGAAATTCTACATCACAGAAAAAGCGTGGCAGATCCGCACTGACAAGATCCAGTACAAGAAAAAGATCAAGGAGACGCAGCGTATGCTCAATCGTGAACTTCTTCAGTGCTGCTTTGGGGCTTGGACTCAACACTCCCAGCCACGATCAGAGCACGTTGACCTTATTGAGGCCTTTCAGTATGGCATCTCATTGCGTTGCACGCTACTGGGCTTGGTTGCGAGACTTCGTTCAGCAGGGTTGCAATTACGCCAAGAGCTCATTGTCAACAAGAAGCAGGCGTTAGCGGCATGTCTTGCTCAGCTACCACCAGAAGCATCAGCCAATGACTTCCTGAAACAATTGAAGCCATTCATTGGACCTACCAATCCAAAGAAGGCCAAGACAAAGACAATGCCTGTGCTCAACAACGAACATGGAGTACGATGCCAACTCCCTTGTGAAGCGCAGGGTATTTGGATTGACTTTTTCCAGAACATGGAGGCTGGTCAACGCATGTCTCATTCAGCGCTCAGAAGAACATGGATCTCCGAGCTCCAAGAGTTCCAACAAGCAGCGCTTGATGTCGAGTTCAGTGAGCTCCCCAGTTTATTGGACTTGGAGAAAGCGCTCAGACGTGTCCCCAGAGGCCGAGCAAGCGGCCCTGATGGACTGCCGGGAGAGCTATGCCATCATCAGCCGGCAGCCATTGCTCGACTGTTGTACTCAGGCATGCTGAAGACCATGCTCCATGGACACGAACCACTGGCCTTCAAAGGCGGCATTCTTACTGCAGCGTACAAAGGTAAAGGACCGGTGGAAAATTGCAGCTCTTTCCGGTCCTTGCTCATATCCAACCACTTGGGCAAGGCGGTGCATCGAAGCATCAGACAGAAGACTGCCAACATATACGAGAAGTTTCTACACAAGCAGCAAACAGGAGGTAGAAGAGGCATACCGGTCCAGCTGGCCATGCACCAGACGCGTGCGTTTTGCCGTCATGCGAAACATCATGGACTTTCAACTGGACTGCTGTTTGTTGACTTGCAGGAAGCATTCTACCGCGTACTGCGGGAAGTTCCACTGGGTGGATGTGTTGGCGACGAGCTTCTGGCCCATCTCATGGTGCGCCTGAAAATGCCTGACGATGCCTTGCACCAGATCTACGACTTGTTGAGTGAAACCCCAGCGGTTGTGCAAGCGGGTTTGAGTCCAATGTACCAAAGGAGCTTCAGAGCCATTCATCAATCAACACATTTTTGGATGAGAGGCCAAGGCGATGTCTCCAGAACGACAATGGGGACGAGGCCCGGCGACAGCTTTGCTGATATTGTGTTTGGGTACATGTGGCGATCGGTATTGGCGAAGTTGGAGCAGTACCTCATCGACCACAACATGATACAGCCCATGGATGCGCATCTTCAGCTCCCTCTTTTTGGACACTGCTTTCCTGCTGATTGCCCATCATATTTTGTAGGGCCGACGTGGATGGACGATTTAGCGATTTGCATCTCCGTCACTGAAGCGTCGCAACTGCCTGCCACCATGGCGCAAGTTGCATGTTTTTTGCTGGACCTGTGCCGCCACCATTGCCTCTCTCCAAATCTCTCCCCAGGGAAGACGGAACTGTTACTCAGTTTCAGAGGCGCTGGCTCTAGACAACTCAAAACGCAGTACTATGGGCCAGAAAGCACTGGATGCCTTCCAATCATTGGAGAAAGAGGATGCCAGCAACTCAGGCTTGTCACATGCTACAAGCATTTGGGAGGACTCTGCCATCACTCCAGTGATCAGAGAGCTGAGCTCAGACAAAGGGCGGCTGTGGCTCACCAAGCAATGTCGCAACATCGCAAATTGCTGTACCACAATCGCGACGTGCCGGTGGAAAAGCGTCGTGAATTGTTCCAAGTCCTTGTGCTGACGAAGTTTTTGTATGGTGCAGACTCATGGATTGCGCTCGACAATCGCGCGCGCCAGCACTACCACTCAAAGATCATTGGGCTGTACAAGAGACTTGCACAGCTTCCCACAGACCAACACCACACAGATGATGCGGTCCTTGCTGCCGTCCAATTGCCCAGCCCCTGTGTGCTCTTGAGACGTGCCAGACTCCGCTATCTGACAACGCTGATTAAAGCAGACCATGCTGACGCTTGGACGCTGCTTGCCAAAGATCGAGATTGGTGCCAATTGCTGGAAGAAGACATGATTTGGATGTGGCAGAATCTACGTTATGCATCTGTCTTGAAGGATCCAAGGGTGCATTACCTGCAGTGGCTCCAATTCATGCAGATGCACCCCCGGTACTGGAAGCGTCTTATTGGACGCGCATGCGAGCACTCAGTTCGCCAGCGCCAACGACGACAGCAAGTCATTGATCTTCATTGTCGAGCACTTCATGCATTCAATCATTTTCAACCGGGAATTGCAGACGGTGAGCCCGTCCCCCATGAAGCTGAAGGTGTTTTTGGTTGCATGGCATGCAAGATCAGATGTAGAAGCCGTGCCGGCGAAGAAGCACACATGTTCAAGAAGCACCAACACACCTCACCATTGAGAACACTTTGTGATCACCCTACGTGTCCTTCGTGTTTGAAGTTTTTCCATACCATGCAAAAGTTGAAGGCTCACTTGCACTACTCAGTGAAGTGTCGCACTGTCTTGCAGAGTCGCAACATTCACTTCCCGATCATTCCTGGCAGTGGCTCCGCCGATGATGCGTTGCGAACCAGTAGGCATGACAGGTTGCTCCCTCCTTTGGTATGCATGGGGCCACAACAGCAAGCAACGAGAAGAAGACAGAAGCCTGACATTGACGGCCAACTCTATGATTTTCTTGTTGATGCCACTGCAGATGCGACTGATACCGATCAATACTATCTCACCGTCAAGAACTTCGTTGGCGACTGCACTATCTCCTGGACGAGATTGCGGAGGACTCTGGACTTCTTTGCGGAGACCCTCATGCCCGAGGATGCGCAGGTCTTGCATTTCGCTCCGGAGTGTGCTATTCGTGTTCTGCGCAGACTTGCTACGGTAGAGGAATGGCCTTTCTTGAGGTGTGATATCAGTGCACAGGTGGAGAAGTATGACATCAAGGAATTGGAGAAGCGTTGCAACAACTTTTGCTGGGACCCATCAGAACAAACAGATGTGCCGGTCCACAAGCCTGTGGGTCGATTTAGGATTCTACTGCACCTCTTTTCTGGAAGAAGACGTCGAGGTGATGTACAGTATTATCTGGATGGACTCGCCAAGGAGCAGACTGCGTTCACGCTCATGGTCATTTCCTTGGACATAGTCATCGACCCTGTGCTTGGCGATGCTACAAACCGACATACGTGCGAGTACTGGTTAGACGCTATCCGCAAGGGATACGTGATAGCCATGCTTGCTGGACCGCCGTGCGAGTCTTGGTCAAAAGCACGCTCTGTTCCATTGACAAGTGAAGAACCAGCCCCTGGAGTTGCTTCGACCCGTGGTCCGCGCATCATCCGGGACATTGACAACCTATGGGGCATGGAAAGCGTGACTTTGCGAGAATTGCAGCAACTCTTTGTGGGCAACGCATTGCTTGCTTTTGCTCTGCTTGCGCTGATGGAGCTGGCCATTGCGGGAGGACATGGGATGATTGAACATCCAGCTGAACCAGACGAGCAACGTGCTGCGTCGATCTGGAGACTTCCGTTGGTCAGAGCAATACTGCGCTTGCCTCACACTGAGCTTTTGCGTTTTTCCCAGGGGCTGATGGGTGCCAAGTCAAGCAAACCCACGCATCTGCTCCTGTTGAATTTACCGCAGTTTGTTTTCTGCCTGCATGCAAATCGGGTGCGTACTGAGATACCCCGAACGACCACGATAGGCAAGGACCAATCTGGTCAATGGCAGACTGCTGCGTTGAAAGAGTATCCGCCAGCCTTTTGTAAAGCAATTTCCCATGCTTTTTATCAGGTCATTCAAGATCGACCGATCTGCACAGACATGCCTGATCAACCCGCTGAGTTTCTAAACGCCTGTAAAGGTTTAGTTGCTTCAGCTTTTGGGGACAACATGGGACCGGATTTTGCCCGGGGCTGATTTGCGGATGCAGAATTCATCAGAGACGCTTGGCCGCAGCGGAAAGCTCCTTTGTGCCTGTTGAAAAATATATATATATAATGTATAATATAACCTATATAATCCATATAAAGTCCCATATATAATGCCATATCTAATCCATATCTATGACCCCTTTCTGAGATGGCAGGTTCTTGAGGTTTTGTACGTGAACCGGCGCCTGTTGGATCCCACGGAGTATCGTCCCAACGTGCCTGGGCCAACCATGGGAAAACCATGGGAAAACCATGGGAAAATCGTGGGAACATCATGGGAAAACCATGGGAAATCATGGGAAATCATGGGAAAACATGGGAAAATCATGGGAAAATCGGACAAACCCACGAAATGGGGACTTACATGGACTATGACATATGATTTCTGGATATGGAAATGGAATATACCCCAGCCTTTTTCCCCAGATAGCTGGCAAGCTATAGGGGTTCTTACTTCTCAAAGGTGGGGTCTTCGGTGGCGAACTTTTGAGCAGGGTGCTGTGCAGGGTGCTGTGCAGGGTGCTGTGCAGGGTGCTGTGCAGGGTGCTGTACTAGTGCGGTGGCGAGGAGTCTGGCACAGGTGCTGTGCAGGGTGCTGTGCAGAGTGCTGTCCAGACTGCGGTGGCGAAGTCTGGCAAAGGTGCTGTGCAGGGTGCTGTGCAGGGTGCTGCGCAGGGTGCTGTCCAGACTGCGGTGGCGAAGTCTGGCAAAGGTGCTGTGCAGGGTGCTGTGCAGGGTGTGCTGTGCAGGGTGCTGTGCAGGGTGCTGTCCAGACTGCGGTGGCGAAGTCTGGCAAAGGTGCTGTGCAGGGTGCTGTGCTGTGCAGGGTGCTGTCCAGACTGCGGTGGCGAAGTCTGGCAAAGGTGCTGTGCAGGGTGCTGTGCAGGGTGCTGTGCAGGGTGTGGTGCGGGGTGCTGTGCAGGGTGTTGTCCAGACTGCGGTGGGAAGTCTGGCAAAGGTGCTGTGCAGGGTGCTGTGCAGGGTGCTCTGCAGGGTGTTGTCCAGAGTGCGGTTGCGAAGTCTGGCAAAGGTGCTGTGCAGGGTGCTGTGCAGGGTGTGCAGGGTGTGCCAGACTGCGGTGGCGAAGTCTGGCAAAGGTGCTGTGCAGGGTGCTGTGCAGGGTGCTGTCCTGTCCAGACTGCGGTGGCGAAGTCTGGCAAAGGTGCTGTGCAGGGTGCTGTGCAGGGTGCTGTTCAGACTGCGGTGGCGAAGTCTGCTGCGGGGGTGCTGTGCGTGGGTGTTGTGCAGGGTGCTGTGCAGGGTGCTGTGCAGGGTGCTGTCCAGACTGCGGTGGCGAAGTCTGGCAAAGGTGCTGTGCAGGGTGCTGTGCAGGGTGCTGTGCAGAGTGCGGTGCGAAGTCTGGCAAAGGTGCTGTGCAGGGTGCTGTCCAGACTGCGTGGCGAAGTCTGGCAAAGGTGCTGTGCAGGGTGCTCTGCAGGGTGCTGTCCAGACTGCGGTGGCGAAGTCTGGCAAAGGTGCTGTGCAGGGTGCTGTCCAGAGTCTGTGCAGGGTGCTGTGCCCAGACTGCGGCGGCGAGTCTGGCAAAATTGCTGTGCAGGGTGCTGTGCAGGGCGCTGTCCAGACTGCAGTGGCGAAGTCTGGCAAAGGTGCTGTGCAGGGTGGTGCTGTCCAGACTGCGGTGGCGAAGTCTGGCAAAGGTGCTGTGCAGGGTGCTGTGCAAGGTGCTCTGCACATTGTTGTCCAGAGTGCCGTGGCGAAGTCTGGCAATGTGCTGTCAGGGTGCCGCGCAGGGTGCTCTGCAGGTTGTTGTCCAGAGTGCGGTGGCGAGTCTGGCAAGGTGCTGTGCAGGGTGTGCAGGTGCTGTGCAGGGTGCTGTGCAGGGTGCTGTCAGGGTGCTGTCCTACTGCGGTGGCGAAGTCTTGCAAAGGTGCTGTGCAGGGTGCTGTGCAACTGCGGTGGCGGGTCTGGCGGGGGTGCAGGGTGCTGTGCAGGTGTTGTCCAGCCGGGTGTCCAGACTGGGCGGTGGCGAAGTCTGGCAAGTTGCTGTGCAGGGTGCTGTGCAATGCTGTGCGGGGTGCTGTGCAGGGTGCTGTCCCGAACTGCGGTGGCGAAGTCCTTGGCAAGGTGCGGCAGGTTGCTGTGCGGGTGCTGTCAGGGTGCAAAGTGCTGTGCAGGGTGCTGTGCAGGGTGCTGTGCAGGGTGCTGTGCAGGGTGCTGTCCAGATTGCTGTGGCGAAGTCTGGCAAAGGTGCTGTGCAGGGTGCTGTGCACGCTGCTATCCAGACTGCGGTGGCGAAGTCTCGCAAAGGTGCTGTGCAGGGTGCTGTGAAGGGTGCTGTGAAAGGTGCTGTGCAGGGTGCTGTGCAAGTTGCTTTGCAGGGTGCTGTGCAGGGTGCTGTGCAGTGTGCTGTGCTTTGGTTCCCACGTTGGGAACGGTCAATTCCAGCCTTTAGGAACCGGAAGTTTTTTGCAATGGTAACCTATGGTTCCCAGGTTGGGAAGCATGAGTTCCAACCTCTGATAACCGGCAATTGCTTGCAATGGTAACCCATGGTTCCCAGGTTGGGAACCAGGAGTTCCAACCTCTGGGAACCGGCAGTTCCTTGCAATGGTAACCTGTGGTTCCCACGTTGGCAACAGTGAGTTCCAACCTTTGGGAACCGGCAGTTCCTTGCCATGAACCAAACGCAAACATTCCGGTACCGGTCCATTAAGCAAAACAAAGCGTTCTTTACCGGTCCATTAAGCAAAACCATAAAGTTGTAAAGAAACTGTTTTTATATCATTTTAACATGCACCTTTTTCGTGCAAAAACATTTTTGTGCCGGCCCAGCAGCCGAACGCACACATTCCGCTACCGGTCCATTAAGCAAAACAAAAGGTTCTGTTACCGGCTCAGTAAACAAAACAAAACAACATTAAGAACCATGAGTTCTAACTTTTTGCAATCAACAGGTCCTTCCACTGGTAACGTTACTTTTTCAGGCTTGGAACCATGAGTTTCAAGCTTTGGATACCCGCAGTTCCTTACTATGAAAGCCGCTTAGCTTCGAAAACATCAATTCTAATTTCTGGCAACCGGCATGGAACCATGAGTTTCAAGCTTTCGCAACCGGCAATTCCTTACAGTGATAGTTGCTTAGCTTCGAAAACATAAATTCTAACTTCTGGGAACCGGCAATTCCTTGCAATGGTAACCTCTGGTTCCCAGGTTGGGAACCGTAAGTTTCAAGGTCTGGGAACCGGCAGTTCCTTGCCATGGTAACCTTTGGTTCCCACGTAGGGAACCGTCAGTTCCAACCTTTAGGAACCGGAAGTTCTTTGCAATGGTAACCTATGGTTCCCAGGTTGGGAAGCATGAGTTCCAACCTCTGGTAACCGGCAGTTGCTTGCAATGGTAACCCATGGTTCCCAGGTTGGGAACCAGGAGTTCCAACCTCTGGGAACCGGCAGTTCCTTGCGATGGTAACCTGTGGTTTCCACGTTGGCAACCGTGAGTTCCAACCTTTGGAAACCGGCAGTTCGTTGCCATGAACCAAACGCAAACATTCCGCTACCGGTCCATTAAGCAAAACAAAAGGTTCTGTTACCGGCTCAGTAAACAAAACAAAACAACATTAAGAACCATAAGTTCTAACTTTTTGCAATCAACAGATCCTTCCACTGGTAACGTTACTTTTTCAGGCTTGGAACCATGAGTTTCAAACTTTGGGAACCCGCAGTTCCTTACAATGATAGCCGCTTAGCTTCGAAAACATAAATTCTAACTTCTGGGAACCGGCAATTCCTTGCAATGGTAACCTCTGGTTCCCAGGTTGGGAACCGTAAGTTTCAAGGTCTGGGAACCGGCAGTTCCTTGCCATGGTAACCTTTGGTTCCCACGTTGGGAACCGTCAGTTCCAACCTTTAGGAACCGGAAGTTCTTTGCAATGGTAACCTATGGTTCCCAGGTTGGGAAGCATGAGTTCCAACCTCTGGGAACCGGCAGTTGCTTGCAATGGTAACCCATGGTTCCCATTGTGGGAACCATGACTTCTAACTTGTGGGAACCGGCAGTTCCTTGCAATGGTAACCTGTGGTTCCCACGTTGGCAACAGTGAGTTCCAACCTTTGGGAACCGGCAGTTCCTTGCCATGAACCAAACGCAAACATTCCGGTACCGGTCCATTAAGCAAAACCATAAAATTGTAAAGAAACTGTTTTCATATCATTTTGACATGCACCTTTTTCGTGCAAAAAAAAAATGCCGGCCCAGCAGCCGAACGCACACATTCCGCTACGGGTCCATTAAGCAAAACAAAAGGTTCTGTTACCGGCTCAGTAAACAAAACAAAACAACATTAAGAACCATAAGTTCTAACTTTTTGGAATCAACAGATCCTTCCACTGGTACCGTATGCTTTTTCAGGTTTGGAACCCAATGATAGTTGCTTAACTTCGAAAACATAAATTCTAACTTCTGGGAACCGGCAATTCCTTGCAATGGTAACCTCTGGTTCCCAGGTTGGGAACCGTAAGTTTCAAGGTCTGGGAACCGGCAGTTCCTTGCCATGGTAACCTTTGGTTCCCACGTTGGGAACCGTCAATTCCAACCTTTTCTATCTGGGGTCTTTGCCGGTGTAATTTATGGGTGGTTATTGAAATTGGGGGATCACCAGTCGTCACCATGGCCGTTTCAATTTCTACATGATCTAATTTTGGAGAATTTGGGGGTACCACCATTTTAGGAAACCCTCCATAATATGTACGATGATGTATGATTTTAGATTGGACCAATAGAGAAGTGGGATGAATCTAGAGCGATTCAATTCGGGACCCAGTCCTTGTTCGGCTCAGAAGCTAGACCATTTTTATCTATATCTCACTATAAATAGGTAAATCAACTATAAATATCCTTGTTTTTCGATTTTTTTTTTCGCAAGTTGCCAGCAGATAGCTAGCGGCATTTGCAAGTTCCTGATCCTAAGAGATGTTCAATTCAGAAGCATGGTAAAACTCGCATTCTATCCTCTGGTAATTTAACATAGCTATGGAAAATCACCATTTATAGTGGATTTTCCCATTGAAAATGGTGATTTTCCATAGTTATGTAAACGTTTACCAGAGGGTACAGTGCTTGGTACCTTGAAAAAAGCACCAGTTCTCTTCGTGGCTAAATCTCCAAAACCCCCCTCACTTGGTAGAGGATCATCCCACGAATCGTAGGCGGGGACGATTTTGTTCTGGTTCGTAAGGCCCCGGTTTGTGGGTTATACCGTTATACCACATGTAAATGGCTTATAAATGCTTATAATATCTTATAACTGGTTGGTGGTTTGGAACATTTTTTCCATATATTGGGAATAATAATCCCAACAGACAATTACTTTTCAGAGGGGTTGAAACCACCAAGCAGTTATAACTATGGTTACTCCCCAGTGGTGTGTTTTATAGCCAAGTCATGAATCACGATATTAATAGTCATCATGTTAGTCATCATGTTATAATTTTCATATAATCACTACTAATCACTACTAGAACTCCTATGAATCACTATGAATCCCTATGAAAATCACTATGAAAATCCCAGTTATGATTCATAGGATCCCATATAATCCCATATAATCCCTATTATAATCCCTATTATAATCCCTATTAATCACTATTAATCCCATTGTATCCCAGTTATGAAAACCGCCGTTCTGATTGATCTTGGGATGCCTAAGGAGACTGGGCTGGTGCCCAAGGACATCTTGGATGCCAACAACTGCCCCTTCGTGCCACTTAGGTACAAGAGCAGTGGTGGCGAAGCGCCGGAAGATCCCCAAGAAAAATGGGGATTTACCCAAGAAAAATGGGGATTTCATGGGATTTCATGGGATTTCATGGGATTTCATGGGATTTCATGGAGAATCATATAGTGAGTTTCCATTAATAGTGGCTGATAATGGGTGAATAGTGGTTGATAATGGGATTAATATGGATCTACCCTCTGGTAATGACTGTTACAGTTTGCGAACTGGAAAATGGCCCGTAGAAATAATTGATTTACCGAACGTAAAGATGGTGATTTTCCATAGCTATGTAAACGTTTACCAGAGGATATAGGTATGAGATAGGTATAGTTATAGATACTTATAGATAGTTACTCTCTGGTAAACAAAACATATCTGGAAATTTCCCCGAATTCAATGGAGGTTTAAATGGGAAATCATCGAACTAAATGGTTTATTCCTGGTGATTCTTGGGGATTCCATAATTAGTTCGGGGATCAAAAAACTATATAGTTGGTTGATCATTTCTTTGAGGATGATACTCACCAATATATTCAGGATTATCGCTTAATCCGTTGGGAGAGGTACATGAAAAGAATAGAACACATTCCAAACCTGATTCGTGAACGTCCCAGACGTGGTGATTTTAGGCACATTTTTGGCACACGAGCCATGGAGACCGTAGCCTCCAGCTTTGTCAGAGATTTTCCAGCGAGCCAGCTGACAACACGCAGGATTGGCTCGAGCTGACATGGCAACCTTTTCCGAAAGTGTCCCAATTCGACTTTTTGGTTGGCTTTGTGAAGCTTGAAAGAAAAGGGATTTACTGATATGTACAGTATACATTACACATTCATTTTACCCTCTGGTAAACTAACATAGCCAAGGAAAATCACCATTTATAATAGGTAAATCCACTATAAATGGGCCATTTTCCATGGCTATCTTAGTCATAACCAGAGGGTACCCTCCGGCAATCAAACGTGGCAATGGAAATCCATGGAACATCTAGAAACACATGGAGACGATCCATGGGAAATCATTAAACTAAATGCAACACAGGATGGGCCCCCCCAGTGATGTGAACGTTGGTTTATAAACCATTATGAAGCCCATGAACTAGTTCGTTATATCTACCATAAACCATCGTTAATTCAGCCACTCTTTTTAAGGCGTTTCTGAACGCTTCTTAGTCGGGTTTACCAACGAGAGCCGCAACCGACATCCCGAGACTCGGCCTGCCTATGACATACCTTTATATCCGACCATGTTTTTTTTGTATAGCGTTACCCTCTGGTAAACGTTTACATAGCTATTGAAAATGGCCATTTATGGTGGATTTTCCCATGAAAAATGGTGATTTTCCATAGTTATGTTAATTTACCAGAGGGTATATCTTCATATTCTTGATCATATCCCTTTATTGCCAGAACAGAATATCATCAGTATATCAGTATCGTTGGTTTGATTCCCTTCTTGTTGGCTAAAAGTTATATATATCCCTGGCTGAACTCAGAATCTGCTTAATTTCTATTTTGTTGGTTAAGTTATACCATGTGATACCGTTATATCCCAATGCGCATCTCTGAATCTGGTTGTCAAGTAAAACTCTGGCCATGTGGCTGTTGCCAACTGAGGCACCACATTGAACTGTTCCAACTGAGGCAGATATGTTTTTTGTTCGACAGGGATGTTTTTTATATGTTTTTCTTTCCCAGTAGAGTTGTAAGTATTGATGTTTCGTGGTTACATGTGCTTACTGCAGTTTGGTGGTTCTGTTAGCCCCAAGTTTGTTGGTTACCCTCCTGTAAACATACACAAAGATGTGGACAACCATGAATGTCGAGCATTTTCCGACTTTCCCCATGGGCTTCCACATCTATGCAAACGTTTACCCAAAAGTGGCAAAATCATGGGCAAAATATATGAGAAATCATGGGATCTTACAGGATGTTAGTAGGATGTTAGTGAGAAATATCATGGCTGATTGGTGGTTTGGAACATTTGGATTGTTTTTCCATATATTGGGAAGAATATGGAAGAATCATCCCAACTGACGAACTCCATCATTTTTCAGAGGGGTAGGTATACCACCAACCAGTTGATGGTTAAAATCTCCATAATCGTTGGCCATAACCACCATTATTAACCACCATTAACCATTATTAACTACCATTATATAACCATTATTAACTAGCAACCAGCTGTACTTCGATGATATTTACCATCTGGTTATTTGACATAGCCATGGAAAATCACCATTTTCAATAGGTAAAGCATCTATTTCAATGGACCATTTCCCATGGCGAACTGTTAGTCATAACCAGAGGGTATATCCATATTAATCCCATGATCAACCACTATTCACCCATGATCAGCCACTATTAATGTAAACTAACTATATGATTCTCCATGAAATCCCATGAAATCCCCATGAAATCCCCAATTTTTGTTTGGGTAAATCACCATTTTCTTGGGTAAATCCCATGAAATCCCCATGGTTTCTATCCTATCCCCTCGGTATCACCGCCCAGGCCGGACATTTGCCTCGTAGGAGCCCCGTTTGGTGCAGACGTGCCGTTACCGCCGACGGAGCCAAAAAGGGACCCGGCGGTGACCCATGTGGTGCCGCGGAGCCGAGCCATGCGGTCCGAAGCAATGAAATTTGGATAAATGTGGGACATCACAATATGATATATGTCTATATATATATATGATTATATATGTAATATATATATATATGTATGTATACATTCACTCACTTGTTGAATTAAAATGGATGACTATATAGAATTGTACGTGTCGATGTGTATGTATATCTATCTATCTATCGATCGATCGATCTATCTAACTAACTATCTATCTATTTATCTATCTATCTATCTATCTATCCATCTATCCATCTAGCCATCTATCTATCTATCTAATCTAATCTAGTTCTAATCTATTCTAATCTATTCTAATCTATTCTAATCTATTCTAATCTATTCTAATCTATCCTAATCTATCCTAATCTATCCTAATCTATCCTAATCTATCCTAATCTATCCCAATCTATCCTAACCTATCCTAATCTATCCTAATCTATCTATCTATCTACCTATCTATCTATCTATCTATCTATCTACCTATCTACCTATCTATCTATCTACCTACCTATCTATCTATCTCTATCTATCTATCTATCTCTCTATCTATCTCTCTATCTACCTATCTATCTATCTACCTATCTATCTATCTATCTAATCTAATCTAATCTAATCTAATCTAATCACCAAGTCTCTGTATCACCCACATTGCCATGGACCGCTGAAGCGGAGCCTCTCGCTCTTGCTGAAGACTCACCTGAACAGCATACACTCCCATATGTGCCGTCCTGTAGCTTGCTTCATGCTTTGATGCCATTGTCAACTAAGCAGTTCCTTAGATTGGCCATTTCCAGGGTTGATGATTTGCAGAAGTTTCGGGCTTTGCGACAACAGTTTGTTCATGCATCAGAAAGACTTGCTTTGCTACAGGTCCAGGGAGCTATTTGGTCTGATGATGAAATTGCGTATCACCTGAGCACGCTGATTTCTGGTGCCACTTCTCTCTCACCGAAGCCGCCTGATGTCTTGACGATTGATCCGTTGTTGAGTACTGCATGGACTGAGGGCTCCGCTTTCTCCATTGATGTCTGGGCCAAGGATCATGCCAGGGTTGTGCACGAAGGCATCCAGGTCATTGGGGCCTGCCGCATCCTGGATCATTGGGTACCGTTTCATGTTGTGCCATGCCAACTCCATGCAAATGTATTCACATGGGATGTGCCAGCGCATGATCATGCTCGTCTGAATGCGTTTCTTGAGAGTCTCGTGAAGAGCCTTGGGTTTCAGTCATTTGTCGTCAATCGCCAACAACGACTTTACTTTGTGTCTGATCGGTGTGGTGCTTTGGCAATACATTTCCTTCACAGTGCATTATTTGGAACGCAGCTGCCCACCAGCGCGGATGATGCTGACCAGGTCCATCAAAAACTCCGCCAGCGATTTGTTGAACTCATTGGCAAAACTGAGTATGTCATTCGCCCCTGGATTTGGGGAGCTGGTGACTCGTCCTCTGACGCTGAGGGAGAACTCCAGAATCCTCCATCAGTTGACGTACCAGATTTTGTTTTAGTTCCTGAACCTGTTGGGGTTGTCAGCCGGGTGTTTGATGTGGTCTCTCCACAGTCTGATCCTGATCTTGAGGCTGCCTCTTCAACTGAATCCGTGGATCTGTCTCAGCCATTGTCGACAGCGCCAAATTGTGATCACCAGATTGTCTCAACCAGTGCCGGTTCACAAGTGACTGAAGTCTGTTCAGGTGCGAGGTCTAGGTCCAGGTCACCTCGTTTGACTGATGGTGCTCGATGCTCTCGTGCTGATCCTACCGTGCCTGCTCCCGATGCAGACGGTGCCACTGGGGAATCCGGGCCACTCCCTATAATGCCCGGTCAATCTGCTGATATTGAACATATTGTCCGTGTGGGTGATGACACTATCCCTGTCACGTTTGCCGTGGTCCCAGGTTGGGGTGATGCCCAAGTACCTGCCCGTGGTTTGTATGATGAAGGCGCCTACAGCCGAGAATTGTGGTCCAGGGTTGAATGGGATCGGGATGACCTCATTGCCTTGAGTCAAGCCCAGATGCTGCAGGTGCAACCACCGCATGTCCCAAATCCGACTAAGCTTTGGTCTCTCCGTGGCCAGCGGATGCCTTTCTGTGACAGACTTGCCTTGCTCCGTAACCAGCTCGGTGCGGTTGCTGATGATGAGATTCGGTATCACCTCAATGTTCTGAAGGAGGAATGTTTGAGTGGGGTCGACTTTCCTGCTAAAGAAATCGTTGTTGTTGATCCGTTGGTATGTGCGGCTTGGATCGATCCTGTGTCCTTCGATTGCACGGAGTGGGCTGCCACGCATCCGGAGATTTTTGAAGCTGGTCTACAAGTGGTTGGGGTCTTCTGTTTCGATTCCCATTGGATCCCTGTGCTTATCACTCCATGGGGTGAAAATGTCCGTATTGCTTCTTTTGACGCCACTCCTGCGTTGCCTGATGAAATTGCAAGCGTGCTCACAAGAGTCGTCCATGCCTTGGGTTTTACTGAAATTCATTTTGACCATGTTCCCCGCACTTTTGCCATGAAAACTGTCTGTGGTGCGGTCGCTATCAATTTTCTTCGCAGTCAGGTTGGAGGGTTTCCTCGGATTGGTACCAACTTTTCTGCTTGGGAAGAACACCACTGCCTCCGACGGCGCTTTATGCATTATGCTGGCAATGTCACTGAAGTTCCTAGACCCTGGTTTTGGGGTTTGGGTGAAGCTCCTGATGATTCCGCTGATGAGGATTGCCTTGGCCTGAGTGAGGAGCCGTTGCAGCGTGAAAGTTCTGCTCCACCCAATGACCGTCCGGTTCAGGTGACGGTGGGCAGGTTGGTTGATCTTGCCACTGGAGGGGTTAGCCCTGATCTGGAATGGCTCCTTTCTTGCTCAGCCTTTCAGTTGCTTGAGAGTGGTTGCCCATGCATTGTGGATCTTCATCAACTTGCTCTTCTTCGAGCTCAACTCTTGCCCAGTGCGTTTCGGAGACAGCTATTGGCGGTTCAGTTCGGCATTTGGTCTGATGATGAGTTGCGTTTTCATCTGCATGACCTTGCCCATCGATGTGTTGTTTACCAAGGAGGGGTTGTCATTCGCAAAGTCGTCGTTTTGGACCCTTTGCTCACAGCTGCATGGACTTTACCAGGCTCGATCTCTCCAGAGTCGTGTTCTCGGCTGTTTCCAAAGGTTGTCAGTGATCAGCTTCACCTTGTGGGTGCCTTCAGGATTGCTTCCCATTGGGTCCCCATCCTTTTGGTCCCATGTGGTGAGTGTGTCCAGATCGTGTCCAGTGACTACCAAGCCGGCCTTCCTGCTCAATGGATCAACTGCCTGGTGTCTTTTGTTTATGCCTTGGGATTCCGCAGCATCCGATTTGATCACGATCAACGCCTTTTCCAGTGCCGTTCTGCTTGTGGTGCGGTTGCGATCAATTTCTTGGCCTTCCGTCTGGGTTTGGGTGTTCGAGTTTCGACGTATGGTGCGGTGTGGCAGAGTCATGTAGCCCTGCGTACCAAGTTTGCAAATGCTTTGTCCAGTACCAACCTTGTCAGCCGCCCATGGGTATGGGGATCTGGTGATGATGAAAGTTCAGAGCACTCCTGGCCTTCTGATGATGTTATTGCAGCTCCTGTTGAGCCTGAGGGCGGTTCTGCAGGGGAACTCTCTCAAAGGAGTGGGGTCGATAACAGTGTGCCGTTCTCCCATGTCTGCATCACTACTGATCAGCGCATTGACTTGTTTGCAACCCATGGGAGGTCTATGGGAGATGATGAGATTCGTTTTCACCTGAACATGCTGGTGGTCCAACGTCAGTCTCTGGGTGCCAGCAGTTCTGGCCCACGACCTGTGGTTATCCCTGTTGAGAGCCTCAATTTTCTGAATCGGAATGATGTTGGGCATATTCTCATTGAAAAGTGGTGTCAAGGAGTTCCGCAAGTCAAGACGCATGGTCACCAGATTGTTGGAGTTTTGCTGGAAGGTGAACATTGGCTGCCCATCTGGGTTGTCCCGGCAGGGATGGTTACCCATCTGCCAGGATCAATTTGATAATTATTGTTAGGGATGGGGTTTAATCATGGATAATTATGAAGGGTTATGTTCTATATGATTCTATATTTCCATATCATTCTATATTTCCATATCAATTACTAATAGGGATAAATAGGATAAATGGGTAAATAGTGAATGGGATATTATAGTCCAGAATAGATATATTCATGTAATATAATAGTCCATAATAGATACAATATAGTCCATAATAGTGTATGACAATCACTGGTGGATATAATTCATAGTGAAGAATTATCTTTAATTCTTCACAGTCTTGCCAGAAGGTTGTGCCAGTGTCTGGGTGTACCTCATATGGTGGCAAACTGGCTAGGCAGAAAGAACAAGCGTATCGCTCTTCAACTTGATTGGCAATTCCAAAAAAATCATCAAGATTCCTTCAACCCGAGGCCGGGCGGCCACCGTCGCTACGCCGGAGCGGCTGCAGAGAGTGGAGGGTTTGTACCCTCGAAGCATGTTTTGCCAGCAGTCGAATCGGGTTGAGGCCATGATTCTTGGCAGCATATAGGATGAGCGTGTGCCATGCGGTGCTTTTTCCCGAATGTGTAACGAAGGGTTCCCGTTTATAATCTGAGGGTCTGGGGGCTAGACCCTTGTTCGCCTCCAGTTGGTCGTCGCGACGTTTTTCGCGACGTTTTCGCATCGTTTTTCGTGTCGTTTTCGCGTCGTAAATTCCGTGTCTATGGGGAAAGCTGCAAAACATCAGTCTCTGCTTCTCCTTTGGCGTCGCCGTGTCTATGGGGGAAGCTGCCAAACCTCGTTCTGGCGTCGCCGTGTCTATGGGGGAAGCTGCAAACCTTCGTCTCTGCTTGTCCTCTGGCGTCGCCGTGTCTTTGGGGAAAGCTACCAAAAAACGGTGGTTTTGATGCGCTGACATCGCCGTGTCTATGGGGGAAGCTTGTAGTCAAAGGAAGTTGGGAAGCAATACTTCCGAGTTACGAATGACTTTTACTTGATGGAATTGACTATGATGAAGGGTGGTGCGCCATTGAGACTTGACCTTGATGAAGGGTGAGACGTTACACTACATAACAATACATCAGAAAAGAATTGACCTTGATATGGAATTGACTATTATGAAGGGTGGTGCGAGATTGAGACTTGCCCTGCATGAAGGGTGGTGTGAGTCTTTACACTGCACAACAATACATCAGAAAAGAATTAATTAACCTTGATATGGAATTGACTATGATGAAGGGTGGTGCGCGATTGAGACTTGACCTTGATGAAGGGTGGTGTGAGATTTTACACTACATAACAATACATCAAAAAAGAATTGACCTTGATGAAGGGTGGTGTGAGACTTTACACTACATAACAATACATCAGAAAAGAATTGACCTTGATATGGAATTGACTATGATGAAGGGTGGTGCGCGATTGATTACCATGGCGCTCTACCACGTTTTCTTTAGAGCTATTTTGTCCAAGTTTGGGTAATTATTGGCCCTAAGTTTGGTAATTATTGTACCCAACTTTTGGCAATTTCTGTCCCCAACTTTTGGAAATTTTTGTCCCCAACTTTTGGGGATTTGGGAATTTTTGTCCCCAACTTTTGGGAATTTTTGCTTTTGGGGATTTGGGAATTTTTGTCCCCAACTTTTGGGAATTTTTGTCCCCAACTTTTGGGAATTTTTGTCCCCAACTTTTGGGGATTTGGGAATTTTTGTCCCCAACTTTTGGGGATTTGGGAATTTTTGTCCCCAACCGTTGGTGATTTTTTGTCCCCAACTTTTGGGATTTTTTGTTCCCAACTTTTGGGGAAAAGTTGTGGACAAAAAATCCCAAAAGATGGAGACAAAAATTCCCAAAAAGTTGGGGACAATAATTCAATTCCTATGGGAAAAATTATTGTCCGCAACTTTTCCCAACTGAAAAAATTGGGGACAATAATTATCCCCATAGGAATTGAATTATTGTCCCCCAACTTTTTTGGAGACAAAAAATCCCAAAAAGGTGGGGACAATAATTAAATTCCTATGGGAAAAGTTGGGGACAACAATTATTCCCATAGGAATTGAATTATTGTCCCCAACTGTTTGGGAATTTTTGTCCCCAACTTTTGGGGACAACAATTCCCAAATCCCTACAGTAAAAGTTGGGGGCAAAAATCCCCAAAAGTTGGGGACAAAAATTCCCAATTCCCCAAAAGTTGGAGGCAAAAAATCCCAAAAGTTGGGGGCAAAACATCCCAAAAGTTGGGGACAAAAATCCCCAAAAGTTGGGGACAAAAATTGGCAAATCACCAAAAGTTGGGGACAGAAATTGCCAAAAGTTGGGGACAAAACTTCCCATAAGTTGGGGACAAAAATTCCCAAATCCTTAAAAGTTAGGGACAAAAAATCCCAAAAGTTAGGGACAAAAATTACCAAAAGCTAGGGACAAAAATTGTAAAACAGTGCCTAAAGAGATAGCCCACAAACATGGTAGAGAGACATGCTAAGCGATTGGGACTTGACCTTGATGAAGGGTGGTGTGAGACGTTACACTACGTAACAATACATCAGAAAAGAATTGACCTTGATGAAGGGTGGTGTGAGACTTTACACTACATAACCATACATCAGAAAAGAATATATAGACCTTGGTATGGAATTGACTATGATGAAGGGTGGTGCGCGATTGAGACTTGACCTTGATGAAGGGTGGTGTGAGACTTTACACTACATAACAATACATCAGAAAAGAATTGACCTTGATATGGAATTGACTATGATGAAGGGTGGTGCGCGATTGAGACTTGACCTTGATGAAGGGTGGTGTGAGATTTTTCTATAACAATACATCAGAAAAGAATTGACCTTGATGAAGTGTGGTGTGAGACTTTACACTACATAACAATACATCACAAAAGAATTGACCTTGATGAAGGGTGGTGTGAGACTTTGCACTACAGAACAATACATTAACAATACATCACAAAAAAACTGACCTTGATGAAGGGTGGTAACAAAGGGAGGTGGTAGGAAGGGAATGCTGCATAAATGTTGAATGGGGGATGTGTTGGGGAGGAAGCCGGAGCACGAAACCTTGTATTTTTCCGTGTAAAGTGGCTGCAGCCGGCGATGACAGGTACCTCGTGTGTGCGGCGGTTGCGGCTGCGGTCGGTCCGGACGCGATTGGTTCCTCCTCTGTGTTCTGCAACGAGTGGTTGTTCCATGTTCTGCCTGTGTGCGCCTTTCTTTGCGTTTCTTGAAGCTGTGGTTGCAGATCGCATTGGAATGGCTGCATGAATGTTGCATGGGCTTTGTTTTGGGGAGGAAGCCGGAGCACGAAACCTTGTATTTTTCTGTGTAAAGTGGCTGCAGCCGGCGATGAAAGGTACCTCGTGTGTGCGACGGTTGCGGCTGCGGTCGTTCCGGACGTTCCTCCTCTGTGTTCTGCAACGAGTGGTTGTTCCATGTTGTTCCTGTGTGCGTAATTCTTTTCGTTTCTTGAAGCTTTGGTTGCAGATCGCATTGGAATGGCTGCATGATTGTTGCATGGGCTTTGTTTTGGGGAGGAAGCCGGAGCACGAAACCTTGTATTTCCCCACATCTTTGTGTGGGGTTCTTGTTTTTGGTGCTGCATCCCGTCCGCCTTCTCCCGCTCCGCCTCCCGTCGCCTCCCACACAACTTACTCACACACAACTTACTCACACACACAACTTGCACACACACACAACTCACTCACACACAACTTACTCACACACAACTTACTCACACACAACTTACTCACATACAACTTACTCTCGTGACTATTGGTTGTGCACACTTTTGATGATATTGTTGACTATGATATCTTCGACAGCAAACTCCGGTGGATGGGTCTGCATTTAGGATTTGAGGAAGTTGTCGTCCATCGTGTGCCTCATGGCCTCCCCTCTCACAACTTTTGTGGTGCCCACGCACTTGCCTTTTTGGCTCACATTCTTCTTGGTGAGGAGCTTCCAGACTCTGTGCGAACATTGGACTTTATGACCACCAATTTGAGGGCTTCCTTTGTACAAGCCATGTATGAAACCAGTGTTTGTCGATGCCCGATTGTTTGGGGAGATGGAGGCACTGGTGCCTTGGTCAAGTCATTGGCTGAAGAGCTCAGTTTGCATGGTGTGCCCCCAAGTCAGGCTGAGAATCGGGCGTCACAGGCCATCAAGTCCATTGGAAGTGAACCCTTATTGCAAGCGATGCAGCACAAGCAGCCGTGGAAGCAGCTGAAAGCTCTTGCTACTAATGTAGGCTTTAAATTTTTGTGCTCCCGTCGGAACTTGAAGCCACCATCGCTACCAACCGTGGCAAGAATGTGGGACGTAAGGCTGCCAAAGCAAAGTCTGTTCCTGGGGTCCCTCCTCCTGTTGAGTTGGATCCTTCAAAACTGGTTGTTATTGATGGCACTTTCCGTTCCGGAGTGAAACCTTTGACTCAATTGACTGCCCAGCAGATCGGTCCGGTCAGCAGTGGTTTTGTCCTGATGACTGCCCAAGAGGCCGAGCCGTACTTGAAAGCAGGTAGATTGGTTTCTCAGGAGCCTCTGGCTCTGGTTGTGTTCCACCGGTCTGACCTTCATTTGCAATCCATTTTGGCGCAATCCCGCATCACTGTTCCGTGCCGTTGTACGATCGACAATGAGCCGGTCCTTGCAGAGGCTACCCTTGTTCAGATTGGCAATGGACCTGTTGACAAGTATGTTGGTACCACTTTGGTCTCCTTGGACTCTCCTGATGTCCGCACTCTTCGGTTCAATGTTTTCCGTGATGAAGTTGAGGATTGGGATCAGTTTGTCAAAGCCCCGGTCAAGCACTTGGTCCAGTTGTTCCCTGAGCTTCGTAGATGCATGGTTGTTGGCTGCACTTGCCCTTCCTGGCACAATGAGGAAGAGTTGCCCATCAAAGAGCCCATTTTGGATCTGTGGAAGCGACAGTACATGAAGACAGGGTACAAGCCTGTTGAGGCTGCCAAGGCAGACTTGTTTTGTGTCTCCGTGAGGATCCCCTTTTGCC